GTACCGATTGGATCGCATGTTGATGTGGACGCCAAGTAATTAATCACCACCGGAGAAGTGGTAGCAAATACAGTGTACGTAGAGCACTCATGCAAGCAATAGGGTTTAATGTGTATTTCAAATAATTCAACGAGCAATTAAAGTAAGTGAAACTTTCATTTGTCACACCGTAAAATGGAGAGCCCGACAGATTGAGGGACAAAATTCGTTGTGCGAGGCATTTGTTTGGATCGTTAATCCATATTTCTTGTTCGGCATAGTCTATATCGTGGAGAGTGAACTGTCCGGAATAAGGAAGGGTGAGGATTGTTTGGCTGGTGTTGTCACAGGACAGTTCAAAACCGGGATAGGAGCATGACTCTGGCCCCTTTTTTTGTATACCAAACGGGAATTCGATGACCGGCTCGCCGACGCCGCAAATATCCGCCTCCTTGCAATTTTCTAAGCTGCTTGCAAAGTATGAGGATGACAAGAAGAAGAAGAGGATGAAGAAGGACAAGATTGCTCTGGGAATATTCATTTTTTTGTGGGGCAAAACTTGATGCTTGAAAATTGGAAATTGGAGATTGGAATATGGATAGCAGGGCAGGCACAGATGCTATACACTTCCAAAATATATATTGCATTATATCATATTTGACTTTGTAGAATAAAGGCCAAGTCTTCATTCACCATTCAGTTTTTTAATTTTAATTAATTTTTAAACTCTGTAGATTAGATTTAAAGGAAAACTAATAAAGAAAACTTAAAAACTTTGAGTTTTATTGATAAGGACAAAATAAAGGGTAAAGTAAATAGTATCAGGTTTGACTTTTTAGTGTAAAAATATAATTTTTTGTTAAAATAAACAGTAGGCGTTTCGTTAAAACTCCTATTAAATAGATATGAAGGCGATGACGACATGGAACTCTTCTATTTGTCAGAGTAATTTTCGGTGTACTTTAAACTCCATCACATATATAGTGTTGTTATTATATATGTAGTAAAATGATATATATATATATATATATATATCAATTGTCGTTCATTTATATGATAACATGTAAAATAATACATAATAACATAAAAATTTGAAGTACATAAAATATTTTCTTATTTTTGGACGGTTATGATGGTGACCAAATTGAGTGCCCACGCAGGATCAGGATTCGATGGGAAAAGTAGAGAAATTTGGGGCTTCCTCACTGCATCACTCTTTTGCCAGTAAACACCGACCTGTTCAAAAGGTTTAGAGGTGGTCTATTGACTCGAATCATGTGGAAAACACTGTATGGTTTTTTTAATTGAAACCAAAATATAATAAAGCTGTGATATTATTGTCTTTTACCACAAATACTGCGTACGTAGGTTTAAGCCAATAATGGCTGCTTGATTAGGATACTAATTTGACATTTGAACTTGACATACTCTACTAATTAAATTAAACAAGAATTAAAGCTTGCATTATTGATTTTTTTTATAATATATTAGAAAGTCCGGTATAGAATGGCAGCTATTCTTCTGATATATGAAATTTGGAATTGACTTGCTCCACTTAATACTGCCATATCCGTAACTGTTGTTAATACAAAACTAACGGCCTTTCAACTATAATTTCTCTATGGCTGGTTTGTAAGAGCTACATATTTTAATACCCTTAATATAACCTTTACTATTTTCTCTTATCAATACTCATATATAAATGATTAATCGTAATATTTATCAGATAAATAAATCTGATTAGATATACAAATATCATGTCATCAAGTTTGTATATTCTCGAATGAGTACAACATAGATGACTTGACAAGTCCTATAAAACCATCACACCAATATTACTCATGTGACATGCCCAAGAATCTCCCGTTACCTAAATGGTCTTAAAGATCGATGCAAATAATTACAATGTTATGAGTTTCATATCAAATCATCTTGGATCAATCTATAGTTGAGATGTGTTGTATTTTGCGTCATGTCGAGGCATGCACAGCTTGAAATGGTCAAGCTATATATTCAAAGGATTAGACCGATCAATATATAGAGCTACAGCCAGTTGAATTATATCAAATAAAATTATAGATTGATGAAATCCAACGGTTGGTGGTTACATGTCACAGACATAGTACACCATCATGACCAATGGCAAAATGGGGATGACGACGTTCGCGTGTGAGATTAGGTTGCTACCTGGGACGGGACGGGACGGAACGGAGTGAGACGAGGCGTTCAGTCCCACGTTTGGTGCGTCTAAAACGGGTGGAACGCGCTGTTTCACGGGACGAATTTTGGGTGAATTTTCGTTCTGCCTCACCCCTTGGAACAACTTGTTCCACATCCGTGGAACACAAAATTATAACCTCTCTGTCTTCTTTTTCTTCCTCGTTGTTTCCATCCAAGGACATCTTTGCTCCTTCTCCGTTTCGTCCCATTCTGTTCCATCCCGTCCCGTCCCATTTTGTTCCGTTATGTCTTGTTCCGTCTGCATACCAAACGATACTTAGGGCACGGCTCACTGTGGCACTCCTGTTAGCAGCAGGACTTGTTCAAAGGAATATATGGCTGAAAAGTAAATACAAACAAGTAGTTTAAAAATATATATTATCTTTTAGATTAACGATTGTTTAATCAAAAGCGAATGATTGCTCCTGAATTATAAATCATGTGGCATTTGGTTATGCAAAAATTATATGGCACTTGCTTTTAGATTAATAATATTATGGGTTCGCATTTGATTCAGCTAGCCTACCATTGCTTATAGACTTGGAAAGAACCAAAGACCGAACCATATGTCTGAAAACCTGAAACATGCAGCATAATATATAAAGTCAAGAGCATACACATAGGAAAAAGGACCAGGGGACCCGTGCTAGACAAAATCATAGTTTCAGGTATAAGATACTATCATTACTTTCTGAATAATTAGACATTAAACCAATAATCGCAGTGAACCAATTGTTGCAAATTCTAAGGTGGGTAGAACCAACTTTCTCTTACCTATAATTTAAATTAGGTGGTGCTACTCATACATATTTTTTTACCTCATACACCCCTCTCAATTATGACCGTCGAACATTGAATGAATAAAAGAATATCAAATGACATAAATTAACAAGAGGTATGTGAAAAAAAAAAAAAATTTGATGTATGGATAGCATCACCATTTAAATTTGTTACCCGTTTTCAACTTCTTATGTTAAGAGTTCAGTTGACCCCAAAGGAAAGAACACTCTTTTTTAGGATGATGAGGGGTTTTTCTACAGTAGATTAATGTGGTGAATGCGAATTTGGAAATATCATGGGGCTCCATTGAGTTGTGTAGCACCACTTCAAGAATATAACACCATTTGATTTAAAATCTGTAAATTAATTATTTGGAGGTAGTCGTACCTAATATACTAAGAGGAGGCTATCCAGAACCCTAAATGATGAGTACTAACAATTGAAAGTACTATCATTGTTACTCATTGAGGACTTGCTTGGAAATTTTTTAAAATGACTGAAAACGTTTTTAAAGAAATATTTTTGAATTTCAAAAATATTTAAAATGTGTGTAAACCTTTTCGTAGCGTGGCATGTCAATGGCTTGTCACGTCTGACGGTGATCTCCTAGAGGGTCGCGCTGCCGATAGACTTTGATCCTAAAGGTTCGAGTCATAGCATACGTGTGGGGACTTGAAGGGTGGTAAACTATTCCTAAACTGCGCCAACTCAGGGAGAAATATGGTAGAGGCACCCGACGGTTGGGGCTAGTTTGAGGCTCCTGTTAGTAAAGATGTTGCCAATACAAAACATAAAGGTGCGAGCCTCCACGGAGCAGCTGTCGATGTGGATCTTAATGGCAGTAATAGAGATCCACACAAGGACCTCGAGACGATATTACAAACATCGCATTCAACATGTATCCCACTTTTCTAGACGTGCCATCATATACAACGTATTACGTGCAGCGGGTGTATACAAGATTTTTGGCCATCTAAAGGCTGAAACGTTTCGGCTTCAAGTTTCTTCATTCTTGGTTTCATCTGGTGTCGTTTCGAGTTAATTTAGCTCATCAAAACAAACAAGGCCAAATTGAATAAATGATATGTAATCATAAGGTATTAGGAAAATAGCCCATGTGCTAAAAAAGTTCGGATTTAAACCCCTGTGAGGTATTCCGTTAGCAAATTTTGTTTAAAAGTGATTTTTTCGTTAACTATCTGTTAATACATAGGTAAAATTGTACTTTGACTTGTGTACCTTCTACTTCTCTCCCCTTCTTCTTCACATCCCACCAAAGTAAAACACGAATCAGATAAACTTTCCTATCATCTTCCAGATCCAAGGAAAACCTTAAAATTGTTCATCTTACACATTGAACCTCAATTTAATTGGAAAACAAAAGTTACCCAAATTATTAATCAAAGTCACATGCACACATATGTTCTGTAGAAACGAGCTAATAATTTGATTAAGTTTACTAAATCAGAAACAAAGAGAGAACAAAATCAATCCCATAAACTTTATCCCCCCCCCCCTCTAAATTGTTTGATTGATCACTCTCTACTTTCTTGGACTTTCTAGGCAACCAAACAGGAAGATAGAAAATTTCACATCTAATATATCACACCTCTGCGAAAATGGAGATTTCCTCCGTTACATACACGAATTCGAGAACAAAACACCCCAAAAGGCCGTAATTGTTCGAATAACAAAAAGCCAAGCTGAGACGGCTTTGATTTCCTCGGAAGTCGCCCAAAATCGCATCAGAATCAGGGGTTAAAAAAAACCCCAATTGTGGAAAACTCACGTAAGCGCACCCACGGAGACACAGTGGCCACCATGGTTTCGATGGTAGTTATGTGGAAAACTGAAAATTGTCTCTCCTTTTTCTCTTGCGTGAAGTGAGTTTGGAGGTTGCATAAGAAAGAGTGAAGTGAGTTTGGAGGTTGCGTAAGAAAGATACAGGAAGAAGAAGGTGCACATGTCAAAGTACAATTTTATCCATGTGATCATTTATCCAAATTAGCCAAACAAACAAATAACCAGAGATTTCGATCAACAATGTTTATTGGGTACCCATGTTTTTATTTCACTCATCGAATTCCAGATTACAATCAATCAAATCACTGCAACACAAAATTCAAATTAAACAACGAGAAAATTCTCCAAAAAAAAACTCCATAGTATTATGATCATAATACGATCAAATCTGGAGAAAAAGAAAACTCAAAAATCAGAGCAGCGACCGTTTCGCTCCCAATCGCCGAAACGGGTGGGCTCCGGTCCTCTGGGCCCACCGATCTCGCCGGTCTTTTTATTCACAAACCCATCGTCGTTATCATCATCATCATCATCTTCTTCTTCTTCTGCTTGATTTTCGAGTTTTTCTACGATGGGTTCACCTTGCTCCTTGCTGGGTTTTTCGTGCTGGGTTTGCGAGTGCGACGCCGACGAGCACAGGACCCGACTCACCGAGTTGACGCCGGCGCGAGTTAGAGGTTCGGCCGCGGAGATTGTCGGGATGGTCTTTGATGAGAATAGACGGCCCAGATTGATCGCCATCTTTGTTGATTTCTGTCCTTTCTTTCTCTGCGAAAGAGGGACGAAATATAATTAGGAGGCGGAGGGAAAACAATCGTGGTAGACATACGGCGTCGTGTCGTGAAGTCGCAGAGCCACGTGTTAAAAATTTCAAGTATTCAAACTATTTATATTAAAAAAAAACTAAGAAAAAGTTCATAAAAACTTTAATTTTAATAAAAATGAAGAAATGGAGGTATAATGAATAATATTACATAAATATAATTAAAAATAAACAATACCGAGAATATTTTGTTAAAATATTTTTTATATTATAGCATGATGTATTTGATCGTATCTCTGAGACGTTGAAAATTCTCTGGCTGTACCAACCTTGCTTGGTTTAAATGCGAGAGATCATTCCGTCCACTTGCCGGACCACATCATGCGTCATAGACAAGTGAGTTAGGGACAACTTTTGTGTTCGATAGTCAAATCAGGTTATTTCATGTTCCGCTTGACTTCATGTAGTTACAACTTTAATACAAAGATAATGGAAGACAAGTTTTTAAGGAGAGAGGATCTTTGCAGGATTCTCTTTGTGAGGATCTCGAAAAAATTTCAATCACGTTCGTTCATTGTATATTTTGTACTCAGTTTTTATCAGGTATTATTTACATTTGATTTTAAATAAAAGAATTTACAATAATTTCTGATTACGTGATATATAATGAACGAATGTGATTGAAAGATATCCAGAATCCTCACAAAGAAAATCCGACGAGGATCCTCCTGGATTTTTAAGTGGGTTGAATAGTCCATTTGATTCACCTAGAAGACACGAAAACTTGTCTTCCATTCTCTTTGGGCAAAAGTGAGACTAGTGTCGCACTTATTTGTGTCTAACAAATGACGTTGTTCGACAGACATACGTAAGAATTTATCCCTCAATGGGATTGTTATACGAAGGTGGTGTAAAAGCCTAAAAAACAATTAAATCGTTAATTCAGTTTTTACTTCGGCTTTAATTTCTAATTCTGCTCTTAAACATAATAATTTTCGTTATAATAATATTTTTAAATAATTGGTAAAGAACCAAAACTGTACATTTATTCCTTTAATAATTAACCACGCAAAAACACCCGGGTAAAAAATATAAACAAATTATAATTTATTCTAAGACCCTTATACCCAGCTCCCGCTGCAAACTAGTTTGATTTTATAGCCACCAGCTTCTGCTTCTGCTGCTCCTTCCGGCAGCAGCTCCATCACACCGGTGAATCCATGACACGAATCGATTTCGAAAAATCCTTCCGAAACCGAAACGTGCTAATCTCTGTGCGCTTTTTGCTGCTGCTGTTATGGTTCTTTGATAATAATCTTCGATCATCGTCGAGCCATCTATGTCATCACTGTGTGTTTGCTGGTGCCTGTTGGGTTAAGGTCTCGGTGCCTCTTGCCAACATTTTGATGGCTCCCATTGCTGATGGCGTGGTCTTCTTCTTCCTTCGAGAGGTACTTGTCAACCTGTGCAGCGACTTGCCTTCCCTCTGAGATTGCCCACACCACAAGGGACTGACCGCGCCGGCAATCCCCAGCGGCAAATACCCCATCCACATTGGTTGAGAACCGACCATAGTCCGCCTTGTAGTTTGAGCGTTGGTCACGTTCCAAACCCAACTTCTCTGCTACCGTCTGGTGGAACATAACACACAGAAAAACCTAGTGAGCAAAACATGTATTCGAATTTCCAAGAAAACCTGAACGTCAGTGGATAGGAATTCAAAGTACTAACCGCCTCTGGTCCAAGGAACCCCATTGCGAGAAGGACGAGGTCAGCCTCGAGGATCTCCTCAGATCCCTCGATTTCGTTGAATTGGAACCGCCCGGTTTCATCCTTCTCCCATTTGACACGGACCACCTCGAGTCCTTTCAAGGCCCCATTCTCATCTCCCACAAATCTCTTTGTCAGCACTTCATAAGTTCTTGGATCTTTGCCGAACTTAGCTGCAACTTCTTGGTGCCCATAATCCACACGGAATACACGAGGCCACTGGAAATCCAAAGTAAAGAAAGTAAATACAAAAGACGTAAGAATACACTTACAATGTCACAAAACCTGGTTAATCGGCGATCCAAGCAAGAGCGATGTAAGAACAGACAGGCAAGATATTACAGTAATCCAACCTGTGGCCAAGGGTTTCCTGGAGCCCTTTTTCGTGGTGGCTCAGGAAGAAGCTCCAAATTTATGATGTTAGTGCAGCCATGGCGAACGGATGTTCCAATGCAATCAGTGCCAGTGTCACCTCCACCAATTACCACAACTTTCTTGCCCTTGGCAGAGATGTAGTTACCATCCTCAAGATTGCTATCTAGTAAGCTTTTGGTGTTTGCATGAAGAAATTCCATAGCAAAATGTACTCCTGACAGCTCTCGCCCTGGTACGGGAAGGTCCCTGCAAAAACATAACAAGACAAGAAAATAAACTTAACTACTGTTTACCATATTCAGATACTTCCGTAGATGCACGAAGACTATATATCTACAGGATTTATCAAGTGTAAGTTACCTTGGTTTTGTTGCTCCTACTGCTAAAACAATGGCATTGTTCTCCTCTCGAAGGCGATCAAGCGAGTACAAAGGATCGTTTCCAATATTAGCATTAACCACAAAGTTGACACCTTCCTCAGCCATAAGGTTAACCCGCCGTTGAACTATCTCCTTTTTATCAGTCTTCATATTAGGCACTCCATACATCATAAGCCCTCCAATTCTATCAGCACGCTCATACACAGTCACTGTGTGGCCTATTCTGTTTAGCTGATCAGCAGCAGCTAGACCAGCTGGCCCGCTTCCTACAATGGCAACCCTTTTCCTGCAATTATAAGAAAATATCAAACTAATGATTCGTGCACAGAAAATTTGCGAAATAATATTCTGAGACAGAGCATCAATCTTAGGCTGAGAAGAAAACCATACCCAGTTCTCTTTACGGGAGGTCGTGGCACCATCCAACCTTCCTCAAAAGCCTTGTCTATGATGGCACATTCTATGCTTTTGATAGATACAGGATTCTCAATAATACCCAGAACACAAGAACCTTCACATGGTGCTGGACAAACACGACCAGTAAACTCAGGGAAGTTATTTGTCTCGAGAAGTCTCTCTAATGCTTCATGCCACCTATTCTGGTACACCAACTCATTGAACTCTGGTATTTTGTTACCAAGAGGGCATCCAGAGTTCTCCTGCAAATTTAGTTTAGAGAACGTATTCAGTAATCAGTTGAGGTAGTCTGTCCATAACTAGATAATTCTTGAATCTCGATAACAGGTAAAAGAGCCAACAAAAGAGTACAAGTTCTCACCTGATGGCAGAAAGGAGTCCCGCAGTCCATGCAACGGGCTGACTGAGTCTTCACAAGTGGTCCAGGTTTAGTTTCCTCCATAACTTCCTTCCAGTCATTCATCCGAACATTGGGATCCCTATATTGAACGCCCTCGCGCTCATAATAAATAAAACCACGATGTTTAACAGCATCAGTGACCTGAGAAGGCCTTTTCAATGCTTCAGCATCTTCTACCTTCTGCAAAATTCAACCCTCATATAAGAACCTTTTAGATTAAAGAATCCATAGAGATTACCAGGAAGAAAATTCAAAATAATCATATCTCTGTATAAAAATTTTAAACCAATTACGCTTGTAATGATAAGAACACTTTCAGACAAAATGAAACCAAAGTGAATACTACGAAGATCAGAGAATGTATGTTCAAAATATAACTGACATTATACTCGTGAAAACAAATCAGAAGGGCGATTCCCACAAACAAAAATTCTTTTGTTCGTCTGACAAAAAGGAGAGAGGGAAAGAGTCAAGGAGAAGACGTACTCATGCTTATATATAAGGGTAACTGATTCAATTACCTGATTGGATTTCCCATTTAAAGATGCAGCCGCCAACTTCTTAAGTTCTTGAAAGGCATCTTTCTCTTCAAGCTCTGGCTCATCTTCCTCCTTGTGCTCTATAACCTGTTTGGTTTCCTCTTTCATATCTGCAAGAACTCGCTTGTACTCTCTTGGGATAACCTTGATAAACTTAGGCAGAAGATTTTCAAAATCAGCCAGTACTTGAACGGCCAGCAGGCTGTTTGTGTGACGTTGATGTTGTTGTATCATCATTTGAAGAGTCAGAATATCTTCTTCTTCAAGTGTATCAAGATCTACAAGCTCAGGATTACATCGAGACCGAAATTGTCCATCCACGTCATAAACATAGGCAATACCACCACTCATACCAGCAGCAAAGTTCCTGCCAGTTTTCCCGAGCACAACAACAGTGCCACCTGTCATGTATTCACAGCCATGATCACCAACACCCTCGACAACTGCCTTAGCCCCCGAATTGCGAACACAAAATCTCTCTGCTGCCATTCCATTGAAGTATGCCTCACCACTAGTGGCACCATATAAAGCTACATTACCGATGACAATATTTTCTTTTGGGTCAAACCTGCTTCCCTTGGGAGGATAAACTACAATCTTTCCACCAGACAAACCTTTACCAACATAATCATTACTGTCACCCTCAAGCTCAAGCATGATTCCAGAGCACAAAAATGCTCCAAGACTCTGTCCTCCACTTCCACTAAATTTGATATGAATGGTGTCAGCAGGAAGCCCAGCCCTGTTGTAACGTTTTGTCACCTCGTGGCTAAGCATTGTACCAACGGCACGGTTCACATTGCAAATTGGTGTCTCAAAATATACAGGAAGAGCTTTTTCCAAAGCAGCTTTAGACATAGAAATTAGCTTGTGATCAAGAGCCATATCCAAGCCATGGTCTTGTTTCTCAACACAATATTGTGCAGCTCCAGGCCGAAGGTCTGCGGCAGGTCGAAGTAACAAAGATAGATCAATATTGTCAAGCTTCTCATTGTTTTTAGTCACTTCTCTATCAACTTCAAGCATATCTGAACGACCAACCATCTCATTTATGGTACGGAAACCAAGCTGCGCCATTATCTCTCTGAGTTCCTCAGCAATCATAAAGAAAAAATTAATAACATGTTCAGGTTCTCCAGCAAACTTCTCACGAAGTACTGGATCTTGAGTTGCGATACCAACAGGACATGTGTTCTTGTGGCACTTCCGCATCATAATGCAGCCAAGGGTTATGAGAGGTGCAGTGCTGAAGCCAAACTCTTCCGCACCAAGAAGTGTAGCTATGGCAACATCTCTTCCAGTTTTTAGTTGGCCATCAGTCTGGAGAGTAGTGCGGCCACGAAGATCATTAGAAACCAAGGTTTGATGAGTCTCAGCCAAACCAAGTTCCCATGGAAGCCCTGCATTCTTAATTCCTGTCCATCTAGAGGCCCCTGTGCCTCCATCGTGTCCAGAGATCAAAACATGATCAGCATGCCCCTTCACAACTCCACTAGCAACTACTCCCACACCTGCTTCCGATACCAACTTGACACTAATTCGAGCTGCTGGGTTAGCATTCTGCATATCAATAGAACAGAATCAACATCTAAATTAACCATGCATTGCTCCAGAAGCAGTAGATGCAAAATCATTCATCCATTTAAAGGGAGTTAAAGAGGACAGCAGGGGCATAGAGCAGTTTATAGGATCCATTACAAAAACAGAACATACCTTAAGATCATGAATTAATTGGGCAAGGTCTTCAATCGAGTAGATATCATGATGGGGAGGTGGACTGATAAGACCCACACCAGCAGTAGAATTCCTGGTGACAGCAATGTCTCCAATAACCTTGTGTCCAGGAAGCTCACCTCCTTCACCAGGCTTGGCACCCTGTGCAAGACAAATAAGTTCAGTTTATGTTTAACTCCAAGAAACATTTAATGTAGGAACATCGGGGAAAATAGAAGAAAAATCCGAGGTCCAGTGTATAGATACCTGAGCCATTTTTATCTGGAGTTCATCAGCATTCGTCAGATAGTAACTTGAAACTCCAAATCTCCCACTGGCAACCTGCTTAATTGCACTCCTCTTTGGATTCCTTGAACCATCTGGAAGAGGCTCCATACGAGATGGCTGCTCACCTCCCTCACCTTTTGGAAGGAAAAAAAATCATTAGCAATATAAAAAAAGCGATAGTTGATGTATTAGAAAAAATCCCAAGTAAAGATTTGAGAAACAAACCTGTATTTGACTTTCCTCCAATTCTGTTCATAGCAATGGCCAGTGTACTATGCGCTTCCAATGATATTGATCCATAACTCATAGCACCAGTACAGAACCGTTTAACAATCTCGCTAGCAGGTTCCACTTCATCCAAGTGAATCTGCTGCTCTGTGTTTTTAAATCTCAAAAGACCGCGGAGATTGCAGGCTTTATTTAATTCATGAATAAGCTTGGAGTATTCTTTATATGCAGCAACACTGTTAGTTCTGGCAGCCTCTTGAAGTTTTGCTATAGCAACAGGATCGTTTAGGTGTACCTCACCACCTTTTCTCCAATGGTAATCCCCAGGATTTGGTAGTGCTACAGCTTCTGCACTTCCTGGAGGATAGCTTCGAGAGGGAAATGCCAATTCGTGCATATGAAGTTCGTCGTGAGCTAGCATCTCGAATGTTGCACCCTCAACTCTACTAGGGGTTCCTGCAAAGCACCTCAATTACTTCAGATGAAAGACCCAAAGCTTCAAAAATCTGTGCACCCTTGTAAGAGGCCAAAGTAGAAATCCCCATCTTGGCAAGAACCTTCATCATTCCATATGTGCTTGCTTTGAAGTACTTTTTAACCAATTCATCTTTGGAGTATATTGCACCATTAGCTATTGGTGGAATCTTTCCGTCCACCTGCAGCCTCCAAATGGCCTCTATAGCCAAGTAAGGGCAGATAGCATCTGCACCAAAACCAACCAGTGTACAGAAATGGTGAACTTCACGTGGCTCAGCAGATTCAATTATCAACCCCACTTGTGTGCGTTCAAGGTTTTTAACTAGATGTTGATGAACAGCGCCAACAGCCAAGAGGGAGCTTACTGCAACGCGCTTTGGGGAGAAGGCTACACATTGAAACAGAAACAAGTGAGTAAAACATAGTTTTCAATTAAGTACTTAATATTTCAAACTCAATGGTAAAATAACTAAACAGGCCATACCTCTGTCTGAAAGAACAAGAGTGGTGTATCCCTTCTTTATTGCTTCATGTGCGTCAGAACAAATCCTATCCAAGGTTTCCTCCAATCCTTCCCTACCACGTCCCTTGGAATAAGTTATATCAAGAACTTTACAGCGCCAACCTCTATAGTTCATTTTCTTGATTGCTTCCATTTCATCAATGGTTAAAAGAGGACCTTTGAGTGAGAGACGATGACATTGTTCTTCGGTGGTTTCTGTCAAAGCACCCTCTGGACCAATCATGCATTCCATAGAAGTGACCACCTTCTCTCGAATGGGGTCAATTGGAGGGTTTGTTACTTGAGCAAACATTTGCTTGAAATACTCAAAGGTAAGCTTTTCTCTCTTAGACATAACAGCCAATGGGGTATCATTTCCCATCGACCCAAGAGCCTCTACGCCATCTTTTGCCATGGGAAGCAACAACATTTCCAAGGATTCAACTGTATAACTGTACAATGTATATATTTCAGTTACATGAAAGTCAAAAAGGCTATAACATAGGTAAGCCAAGGAAGAACCACATACCCAAAAGCTTTCAGCGGTGCCAATAAACCATGGATTCCCATGTTTTCCATGGTTTCATCATTAGTAGATGCCTAGAAGACAAATGATATATAAAAGTTGGAATCAACCACATAAAAAAATCTAAGAAAAAAACAACAAAGGCAACTTGCATATATAGTTAAGTCAACTTACAGGAATAACTCCAGCTATGGACGGAGGGACCCTGTCAGATTCATGAACAGAATCTACAATGTCCTTGAGCTCAATCTTTTGCCTTTGAAGCCACTCCGCATACGGCCTTGCCAAAGAATATTGCTGCTTCAACGCTTCATCATCCACCACAACGTGGTTCTCAAAGTCCACCAAAAGCATCATTCCAGGGTTAAGTCTTCCTTTCCTGCTGACATCTTCCGGTGGAATGTCTACGACGCCAACTTCACTGGCCATAATAACCCGTCCGCTGTGAGTGACGTAAAATCGACCAGGTCTGAGTCCATTACGATCCAGTGTAGCTCCCAAATAGCGGCCATCAGTAACTGAAACAATTATTTGTTAGCACGAAAGTACACAAAAATAGTAACTGATGTAAATGTATTACCGAGTCCAAAACTATTTAGAGCATATATTACATGATATGAGAGCTGGCCCATCCCATGGCTCCATGAGAGATGAGAAATACTCATACAGGGCTTTCCTATCCGGGTCCATGTTCTTGTCATTTTGCCATGCTTCAGGAATCATCATCATGATAGCTTCGGGGAGGCTTCTTCCAGCTTGAACCAGAAGTTCAAGGACAGCATCAAAAGCTCCTGCATAATGGAACAGCGTTGTACAGTCAGACACTAAAAAAAAGGGACAGATAACCTATTACGCTCTTGTAATTTTCCATTTAGTGAGAAAGCATATACTGATTTATCCTTGTATTTAAAATAATACAGAGGTGCATGCGCATGCTAACTCAAATTTTATAAACTCACCTGAATCTGAAGAACTGGCGTCCACAATGGGTAAAAGTTTTTTTAAATCATTTTCTGATAGACCAAGTTCCTTACACTTCAGCAGTCCCTCGCGTGCCTTCATCCTGAGTACATTTTACAAGAACATCAGGCAATTACAACATCCAATATTGACAAGGGCACCAGGCACACAAATCATCAAATGAATGAGCAGAAAAGTATTGTACAAAATCCACTTTCAACTAAAAAAACATACCAGTTAACATTTCCTCTGAGGGTGTTGATTTCACCATTGTGGCCAATGACACGCATAGGCTGAGCACGATCCCAGCTGGGAAAGGTATTTGTTGAGAATCGAGAGTGTACCTGCACAAATAATCAAAAGAACAAACATTATCATGTACAATTCCATATTCTTTATTCATAACATGGAAACCCGATGCTAAAAACCACACACACAAAATTGTCTTCAGACAGCTCCAGTAAAAACCATACTGCAGCAAGTACAGTTTAAAATCCTAAGCTATACTTCGACCAAATACTATTTCCGTTCACCACTCATTCGTAATTTTCATCCTCAACAACTGATCATAGAGAGCACTGCACCAAGTTTCTGCAAACATGATTTACTTGATAATGAGGTTTCTTACCAACTCACCCAATGCATCCAATCCAGCATCCAATTTCAATCAGTAATCAAGGGAGTGGAAGAACTTAAGAAAGCATTCAAACCTCAATGCCTCAGAAGTCATTCCTCAACCTTGCACCTCTTCAGTTACTGGTTGTTCCCACGCTGTTTGTGGAGCATGGAGTTAGTGGAGAAACAAAACAAGTGAATGGATAAAATATTTACCAGGGCCATGTAGCTCGTAAACCTTTCATTGCCAAGATCTGCATAATAATAACCCTTCAGCTGAACGGGCTTCAGCTGACCTTTGTAAACAACAGTCCTACATAAAATCAAGAAACAGAATGAATTAAATGATCGCATAAATTATAAAACTTTGTGAAAAAGAAAACATGCTAGATATCTAAAGAACAAACCTTGAGGACAGCGAACATATATAAAAGTCCTTAGCACCACCGTGTTCAAGGTTTAATGCAGCTCGGATAGCAACCATTGACAGCCTTCTTAGTATGTACATCTGAGAGGAAGGAAGTGCAAAACAGAATCATACTATTAGGTAAATACAAAATTAAACTACTCGTTTTTTTTGTCTATAAAACAACTCCGCATAGACCTCAAATGGTTGATTTACAACATGGGAAAAAATACCTGTCGTTCGAAATCAACTTTTGACTTTGGGGTCGCAGTAAGGAACACTTGCTCAATAACAGGTTCAGTCTGCAAAGCAGAATTCCCCAAGTCTGAGTTATCTGTTGGAACAGATCGCCACCCCAGAACAGTGTGTCCAAGGGACTCTGCAACCTGAAAACATATGAACAATATTCACATAAATGCCATCGGACAAGAAATTAACACTATTACACTAAAAAGGTCGACCTAAACAACACATGGACATGCAAGAACAAAATGACACAAACAAATTAAGCATTCTGCAGGACAAGTGCATACCGTGCAATAAGAAATTATATGAAATTATTCCCTTTTCATTTGTACATTTGGCTAAGCAACTATAACAAATGTATTGAGTTCAACAAAAGTGGTAAAGCTCAAATTGACGTGCGTCAATGGAATCAGAAGATTACCTTTGCAAATACTCTTTTGCTTTCTTCTCTTCGGCTCTCAGATGTGGGCAAGAAGAACATTCCAACAGCGTACTCCCCTGCCGGTGGAATATCAAACCCGGCATCTTTGGTTACCTGAAAAACAGCAACCCAATAATTATCAGTGCTAGGTATGCAGAACTTGGTAACAGTTAAGGTTTTTATTTTATTTTTTTCTGATTAGCTTAAAAAATTACCTTTTTCACAGAAAATTACCAAGCACATCAAATATATGAAAACAAAAACAAATTAAAATTAAAATCTGAACAGAACCAGAAATTTCAAAAAGAACAAAGCTTGGCTGCTTAAAAAAATGCAAGAGCTCCCACTCTCACTCAATAACAACTTGACAAGTGTCCAAGTTGTTTGTTCAAGTTTTAATTTTCCAAATTTTTCGAACACTTGTCAAGTTATTATTTGGTGAGAGCAAAAGCTTTTGTTTTTTTTAAGCAGCCAAGTTTTATTCCAAAAAATGACATGATTTATAAAGACCTTACTTTATAAAACGATATTCTATTCTAGACTATGAGAAAATTTATATACAGTTACGAGCACATGACCAACTGACTAACCAACATCGGATATTTAATATCATTAGAACCCGCCAAAATTAATGCAAAAAGTAAATAATAAATAAATAAATATTCCAAAAAGTTACAGATAATCCTCACCTCCTTGTAGAAGTCGTGCGGAACACCGACGAGAATCCCAGCTCCATCACCGGTATTCGTTTCACACCCACACGCTCCTCTGTGCGTCATCCGCACCAGCATTTCAATTGCATCCGTAATCTAAAAAAAAAGCCCAAAAATAAATAAATAAAACGACATCAAAACGCGCGTTTAGCAATTTTCAATTTCTTACGAGAATAAACAAACGCGACGGCGTACCGTTTTGCGGCTGCCTTCGCCGGACAATTCGGCGACGAAGCCGACACCACACGAGTCCTTATCGAACGACGGGTCGTATAGCCCGAGGGGCTTCTCTGGAACGGCGGAGAGCATGTTGCGCACGACGACTCGGAGCTTCGGCGAGCGACCGGGACCGTCGGAGCGCCACAAATGGAGCCTCTCGGATCCGGACGCCCTCAATCTGGTCCCGAAGAACTTCTTGGCCAGAGCCTTGCATGATTTCCGGGAAGGAGAGCAGGACGGCAGGAGCGACGGTTTGGTTCGGAGCTGAACGACGGAACCGCCAGTGCTCGCCAACATTATTCAGAAATAGAATCGGATTGGATTCCGATTATTTGAGCGAGTATGTAACAATGATTATACAGAAATATATATATATATATATATATATATATATATATATATAATGACTTAGTCAAATATGTGCTTAGAATCTGAGTCGTTTCAGGAATCTTAATCCCGTATTCGAGAGTTTGATTAGGAGACTAACACAGGATTTAGATCCAGAGTAAAAGAGAGACTGAGGTTTTCCTCTAAGATCTGAAGACGACACCGTTTCGAGACTGGGGAGGAGAAAGACTGGAAGAGGGAAGGGGGAGAAAAGGTCAACAAATTCGCCGGTGTTTTCTATGCCCTGCTACGTCCTGGTGTCGATTTTCCCAGAAAGTAAGCGAGAAAGTGATTTTCCCGGAAAATAGTGAGAGAAAACTGAGAGAGGGAGGGGGAGGGAGAGGGAGGGAGGCAGCGCAAACAGGGAAACGGGCGGCCCTTTCAGCTTTTGGGTTTCTACGAGGAGAGGCAGGGCGGTGGTTTTATAGAGAAATCAGACACAGGTTTTCTAGAGAGAGAAAGAGTGAAAGGCGCAGAGTGATGTAGAGAGAGAAAAATACCGGGAGCGTGGGGACCACAGGAAGGGGAAGGATGGGCCCGGGGTTTAAACTAGGGGTGGGTTCAAAAAACCGAAAACCGAAAAAAACCGAAAACCAAACCGAACCGAAACCGAAAAAACCGAACCGAACAAAAAAACCGAACCGAATTGAAAAAACCGAACCGAACCGAACCGAATTCTTTTGGTTCGGTTCGGTTTTAGTGATCTAGAAACCGAACCAAACCGAACCGAACCGAATTAATTAAATTAATTTTTTTATTTAATTATTTGTTTTGGATATTATTTTCTAAACCCAATTTGTAAGTTAAAATATGCTAAACCCAATGTGTTGCCAAACTTTAAGCTCAAAATATTACAAAAAAGTCCTATAAAAACTTTAAAACCCTAACCTATTATTTATCCCCCATATAAGGTTCCGGAGCCAAACCTCATCCTGAAGTACCTACATCCATCTCCATAGCACTGTCTACTTTTGTCTCAGCTTTCTTTTCCAAATCTACTCTCATATAACATGTAACAGAATCTATAAACATTTATTTTCGGGTAGATTACTTAGGGAATTTGTGATGGAAAAGAATCCAACACACACTAAATAAATCCACCCACGCATTTCTTTTACTAATCAAGTTGTCAACATGCAGTTACAAGCAAACAACCCTGATCTTTTGAACAACATCATACAATTTAACTTTTCTAAGTCATTTGTACGATTTTTTGTGTTGTGATGTTGTTAGTTTGGACTTTGGAAGACTTGATTGATGATTTTAGTTCAACTTTAAATGTTTATTTTCATTGTCTTTGATTATAGTTAGAATGCTTGTGTTATGATTGTGTTGGATACGTTAAAATTTAAAATTTCAATGTTTTTCATTTTTTGAAAGAAAAAAAAAACAAAAAACCGAAACCGAACCGAAAAAAACCGAACCGAAAAAAAACCGAACCGAAAAAAACCGAAAAAAAAATGAACCGAACCGAACCGAACCGAAATTTCGGTTTGGTTTCGGTTTTGGAAAAAAACCGAACCGAATTAAACCGAACCCACCCCTAGTTTAAACTCCCCGACCTCAAACGCTTACTGTTTTATTTGAAAGATTTTTCAATCTGACTGGTACATGGAGTGGTACATCACGTGTTATTATGTAAATAGTGGAATATGTGTGCTAAAAAGTTAATAATTTAAAAAATAAAATTTTCTCACCACTCCTATTAAAACAAGTGATGTACCACTTGTGTTTCCATCACAACTAAAATTTTCTCTTTTTATATAAGTGGATAATTTTTTATTATGATTGGAACACGGTAGTAAACTACGTGTTTTTAGATAAGTAATGAGAAATTTTATTTTTTAAGTTATTAAATTTTTAACTCATAATAATAACACATGATGTGTATTCCGATCACACTGAGAAATCTTTCATTTAAGTGACGGGTACAGCTCAGAATTCGCAAAATGCCACGTGTGCAGTGGCCGATGCGGCACGCGAGAGCCGCTGTTGGCGGGGCCCGCGTTTTAATACGTATTTATCTGTTTAACTAGATAAACTCGTTGGGAGTTTGCTTTTGTTGTTTTTCTGTTTTTGTTAGGCCGCCTCTTGGGGTACCCGAGCCTGCAGATCTGACTAGGTTCGGACCCGAGCCTGGGCTGCGGTCAAAATACGGTAGGTAATTTGCTGATTTGGATAACCGGGTTTTTTCCTTTTGGTGATGTTTGTCTGACGATACGCGGCAATCGGCATGTGATGATCGGCTGATCGGCAGCCCGCAGATTCATACGCGGCCAACAGTAAGAGTTGGCCTTGGCATGAGAGGTGGTGAAGTTGCAGGTGTCCTTGGCATGAGCGTCATTGGTCTTCACTGTGAGGAGCAGAGGAGCTGAGCAGCTGTTTCTTTCTCGGAGTAGTGTAGTTGTGTTTTTGCTTCGCTTCGGGAGTGTGGTGGTCGTGCTGTTGTGATGGCTAGATTGGTCTTCGCCTTTGAAAAATAAGTTATGTGGTCTCGTATATCAACGATTACTTGATGTGATCACGCTCTAATGCGATGACTTTTTTGTGATCGTTTTTACAGATTGCTGATGAAATACTAATGATGACAATGGATGAGATTTGTTGACCTTTTTTTTCTCAATTGTTCCATCAATTGAAAATTTTGCCGGATTTTGTTTTAATGACTCTCATCTGTAAAAAAAGTCTTTACAACTTTTATCAAATGGTATTTATCTATTAACGAATTTACACATAATTGATTGAATAGGATATCATAGATTACCTAAGTTGACAAATAACCATGTTTAAGAATAACGATTCAAATATAATAGTAACCGATCTGAATGACAAGCTGGTTTAACGATACTTAATTTTTACTTAGTTAAAAAAGATTAATATTTGAATTACATGGATGCGATGTTACTATTTATAGTTAGAGGAGAAGCTAAAACCATGGTTGAGATTTGATAAATTATATATGCTACCAAGGAGAACATTGTTCCTAAGCACAATATTTTTTACGTTTTTGCCTCTGTTTTAATGTTTCTCCCCTCTTATTTTTTCACCCTCAAACAAGGACGATTATAGCCGATTTAGTTATTGAACTGTCAAAAAGAGAGAAAATTCAATGCGTAATCTTAGCATTCAATGATTATTCTTGAATAATTGAAAATAAGTCTCAATTTTCAATTATTCAACCACATAATAAAGGTCAAACATATTATTGCCACTCAAGTGTGAAGGGTGATTTAGAACACCTTGCAAAGGCAAATATCTTGGGACAATTAGCTCTTTTTTACTAGTTCATGTTCGTCAATCATGTCAATAACTTGCATTTTTCTCAAAATTTAATGTTAAAGTCGGCTCATCATATCCTTTGTCTCGTGAGTGAACAAACAAATGGGCAACGATGATAGAAGACCTCGTGGATGATGGATAAAAAGCATAAGAATGACTCAGTCGGTGCTAATGGATCGCTATTGTACAACCCTAGGGTGCTCAACAAAATGCTTCACTTGCAACAATCAGCAATTGTCGGCAAGCTTTATCGACAAAACTCAACAACTGTCGACATGTCTTCTCACTCTCAACAATTGTCAACAACATCTATAAACACATCCTTTCACTCCCAACAATTGTCAATAGTTTATGCTCGCAAAACGCTTTATTTCTAATGACTTGACATAAACAATGTCGTATTTTTACCAAAATTATGATTGAAATTACTGTTACTGAATTTTACATTGTTATTAGAGTAAATTATAGTAATGGTCTCTCAACTTTAACTCAATTGGAGTAATGGTCCCTAAACTATAAATCCATTATCATTGATCCATCAACTCATCAAAACGTACAACTATGGTTCCTCAACTAAAAATTCATTATCATTAGTCCATCAATTTTAATTCAACTAGAGAAATTGTCCTTCAACTTTAACCCAATTAGAGCAATGGTCCCTCAACTTTAACCCAATTGTAACAATGGTCCTTCCAACATAACTCATTTTTACAAAATTTTGAAGAAAAAAATCATATCTACATCTTTTGATGAGTTGAGGGATCCCAACTGTAACAATAGTCATTTCAACATAACTTATTTTGACAAATTTATAACGAAGTTGAGGAAATGAACCATACAAGGGCGGAGCTACAGTGGGCTAGGGGGGGCGGATGCCCCCATTGAGATTTTTTTAATTTTAAAAAAATTGTATGCATTCTAATTCCCTATGAGTAACACTCATTAAATAACAATTAAAAAAATTTGTCTTTTCTGATCAAACTGATTTGGTTCTGCTACACAGCAGCAAAGCTGGGTCTTATTTATTTTTTTATTTTTAAATTCAGACCAAAACAACGTCGTTTTGGTTCGTAAAAAAAAAATAAACAAAACGGCGTCACTTCATATATGTTTGAAAAAAAAAGTATGTATAGTGGGGGACCGCTTGTCCCTTCCCCCCCCCCCCAAAAAAAATCCATCTCTGTTTCCTATTTATTGTGGATATGCGGTCTAACATTGAGTTTTCAGGTTTAAAAGAGATTGGAGTCCTTGCAAAAAAACTAAAAAAAAGGTTCAATGCAAAAAACACAAGGTGTATTTGCTGGTTTACTTGCTTGTGACATTAGCATTAACTCTTCCAGTTGCTACTGCAATCGTTGAAAGAGTATTTTCGGCCATGAAATTTCTGAAGAATCGATTGAGAAATCGGATGGGTGATCAATGGATGAATGATAACATGGTTATTTTTATAAAGAGAGAGATATTTGATGGTATTGGTAATGATGTTGTCATGCAATGTTTTTAAAACATGAAAATGGGTCAAGAGATATTGTAAGGGAATATTGTATGAAAACCTTTATGGATTAATATATAAGTATTGTGTTTAGTAAATTCTTGAGTTTTTTAATTATGATTTTGTTGTTTGAGGATGCTCTGATTCATATAAATTTATGGCTTCGTCCCTGGAACCATAGCTACACATTTTGATGAGTTAAGAGACCAATGATAATGAATTTTTAGTTGAGGGATCATTGATCTAATTGATTAAAGTTGAGGATCATTGCTACAATTTACTCTTGTTATTAAACAGCTGCAACTCACGTGTCGTCACCTAATCCCACATCCTAATCAGCCTATCAACTAGCGGGTCGACGGGGGTATGGGATGGGACCAGCTCATGCAGCTGTCTAAATCAAAGGGACTAATCATGAAAATTTTGAATAAGTTAGGGCACTTTATGAAAACCAAATTATAAGGACTCCTTTGTATCAAATATGAAAAGTACGGTTGCCCAACAATCTTTTCATCGTCAAGTGAAAACCTAATCTCGAAAACGATGTCAATTTTTGCGGAAATTCCAAAAATTACCCCATTGAATTTTGTAATTTTGTAATTTTTTTTTTTTAGATTTAATTTTT